GTGAACACAAAAACACAACAGTCTCTTACAGTCCTCTGAGTTGAGCGTAGTAGTCGGATGTAGTCCAGTTTATTGTCCAAAGAGCGTACGTTAGCCAGTACGATGGTGGGGATAGCCGGCTTGTGTGGGTTAGCCGCTAGCCTAGCCCGGATACCTCCGCGCTTACCCCTCTTCTGCTTCCTCTCGCGCCGCTTGTGGCGCCTCCGCTGTGGGCGAGATGCAGTAGTGGGGGTCGGTGATGGTGTGGGCCTCCGGAGCAGACCGAGATCCCGCAGCTCTTCGGCGTGCGCAGAGTTTAACTCTAAAAATGTGGTTCTGCCGACATCGAGCAGAAACACACGACTGTATGCACGCTTAATGACAGATAGACGCAACGAATACGTACAAAAACACTGCGACTCACAAGACAAAAAACACAAAAACACCTTTCTGTCGGAGAAAGAGAAGCCGCAGCGTGTGAACGCGCCGACATCTTGCGTATTAAAGCTTTAATCAGAATAAAACCGTATATTAAAAGCTAACAGAAGCAGTAGCATTTACAAATAACAGCGTATCTAAAAGTATGAGACAACAACAAACAAAAATCTTAGGCCTACCATTAAAAGCCGTGCTTGCACAGGTTCTGCGCGATCCTCTTCACTAATATCCTCTCAATTGGGCTCAAATTGATAAGCAATATAGTCATTGTTTACAATACAACCGGAGCACATGCCGCTATGTTGAGGGGCGGGACGTTTAAACTCGTGCTAGAGGCACTTTAGCCAATCACAACACACTGGACTAGCTAACCAATCAGAGCCCATCATGTATTTCTGAGGGAGGGGCTTCATAAAAGCAGGAAATGATCAGTTCAGAGGAGAAGGGACAGAGAGGTGTGGAATAAAAGTAAATTATGTGAAAAATAATGCATTTTTTAACAAACGAAGCATTAACACATGTTAGACTGCACCCCATAAACACAATCAAGCCTATAAAAAAAACAGTCAACCACCCCTTTAAACAATATTTTGCTAAATGTGTTTTTGTGCTGAAATCTTGCCTGGTTTAGGCCTGTCATGGATGGATAATGATGACAATAAAACCACCAGTAGGTGGCAGCAAGTCCCTGTTTTGATAAATGTTATTGAATTGTTCAAATCAAACGATTCGTTCAAAACGGCTGATTCAATTAGAAACGAAGCAAGCCTGCGTCCCAATGTGCAAACTATCCCATCCTAAATTCTATGTGATATTAGTCATTTTCAATACTATTAAGGCCGATATGGTGGATAGTCCTAGTTGATAGTCCACATTGGGACGCAGGGAAAGTGTCCATCTGAATGGACGGACGGTTCAATCATTATTGTGATTATTATTATTATTATTATTTATATTAATATTAAAAAGAAGAAGAAGTAGTAACACCGTGTTGCTATGCACTGTTGTATAAAATTAATAGCACATTTGTGCTCGCGCATGTACTGACATTCAGAAAAGTACATTGCAATGAATATAAAAACATAAAAACTCATACATGGTTATTTTTCCTTTAATTGCTTGAATTATAAGGTTATTTTACCTGTATTCTGACAGGCTTCATCACGCAGTGATGTGTAATAATGTGTATTTTACATAATACACATTATTAATTCAAAGGGGATGCTTTTTGACATTTTTTTCTACCCTCCCCTCTGAGGGGGGATGCCCTCCCCCCGCATCCCCCCTCAGTTCGAGCCCTGATTATAAGCTAATAACAAGGTGTATCATCATAAATGAGCACTTATTAATCATAAGTGGTATGTGCCATTAACGTACAATTGATCGATCATATACATTTTATTTTACTTTTATTTTACTAACTAGCCTATATAGCCTAAGTAACTTTGCAACTACAGTACATTTCAACAAACAAAGAAAGATACAAGGGACTACAATGGGAAGCAGGAAATGGGAACAAACTAAAAGTTAACATAATACCACAGTGTGAAGCTGAAAATGCACAGTATTTGTTACATGTAGCTAACATTTGATCCACATGCTAAAACATATTATAACGCATGGAAACATTTTCCACATGGGATCCACATGTTAAAACATATTATAACACATGAAAACATTTTCCGCATGTGATCCACATGTTAAACCCTATTATAACCAGTGTTGGGGAAAGTTACTTTTAAAAGTAATGCATTCCAATATTGCGTTACTCCCTAAAATAGTAACTAATTACATTACTTAGTTACTTTTTATGGAAATTAATGCGTTATATTACTTTTGCGTTACTTTCACGTTTTTAAATATAAGCAGGGCTTGATTGTTTTTAATATAAGAAGTTCTATTTATAGCAAATATAAAAGCCCTTTCACACCAAAAAGTGTAATGAATAAACCTCAGGCTGAAGCAAAAGTAAAATCACATCTGTACAGCAGAGCGCAGGAGAAGAAACACTCTTCAGCAATAAAAAACAAAGCACAATTGTTAGTTTCTCTAAAGTCATTTTTGCTTATTAGTATGGTTGAACTGGATCATCAAAGGTCAGCAGCAAAGATATTGGTTAATAAAATGGGATTAGATCCATTTGTGGTATTTAACATATTTAATTATTGCAGGTTTGCGTCATATTCTGAGTTTGCATTTCACTGTTTTAATTCATTTTGATGAATACTAAATCAGTTTTTTGTGAGTGGGATGAATTAATGCACATTCACATTTAGTCTAGAACTACAGTAACATCATGTTCACAAAGTGCACACAACGCCTCTACTCCCGATTTCTCCCAATATGGGGACAGGAGAGCTGTCAGTCAATAAATGGGAAAACAAAGTAACTGGCATTACTTTTTTGAAAAGGTAACTCAGATTAACTCAGATTAAATTCTTGTAAATTAAAAAAGTAATGCGTTACTTTACTAGTTACTTGAAAAAAGTAATCTGATTACGTAACTCGCATAACTTGTAATGAGTTATCCCCAACACTGATTATAACACATGGAAACATTTTCCACATGGGATCCACGTTAAACCCTATTATAATTCATTTAAATTCAATTGAATTCAAGTTTATTTGTACAGCGCTTTTCACGATACAAATCATTGCAAAGCAACTTTACAGCAAATTAAATTTCTACAATATTTAGTGGTAGCTTATCAGTGGTGACTGTCAGTCAATGTACATATGGCAGAAATGTATGGAAAAATCAATTAAAGACGTAATCAAACAGACGATGAACACTATTAACAGCAATTATTATATGATGCAATCAAACTTATAGCAAAATGTGATAGTTCTGTATGTTGTTTCAGGGTTGGCATCATCTGAGGTCCTATGAGGGGTTGGCATCATCTCTTCTCAGGTGTTCTGAATCCAGACTGTAGCTTGTGTAAATCCTAGTTACGCAAAAACAGAGAAACAAATAGAGACATAATTAGCATAGCTGCTGTTCCAACCAAGCAATATGTATTTGTTTAACACAAACTAAAGAATAATAATGTGCATTTGATCAGATATAACTGCAGTACAAGATTATGATATGCATTATTTGAATGCTTGGCCAAAGAGATGTGTCTTTAATCTAGATTTAAACAGAGAGAGTGTGTCTGAACCCCGAACGTTATCAGGAAGGCTATTCCAGAGTTTGGGAGCCAAATGCGAAAAAGCTCTACCTCCTTTAGTGGACTTTGCTATCCTAGGTACTACCAAAAGTCCAGAGTTTTGCGAC